TTTATACATTTGAGACTCTGAATCTAAATTAAGATAATTACAGCCTTCTCTAAGAGTCCCATTCATTCACAGCTTCAGATCTCAGTTATTCTCTGTGAGAATTTGTGGTAAGCAAACACTGCTGAACCACAACTCATAGCTATAGGCTTTGGCTACGAACCACAACGATGAAAAGATGATGAAACATGCATTGTGACATCATGACATAAGGCAAATTCTGGCCTATACTATTTGCATTATGGAATTAGGCACAAGTACAAAGTTACTCAATCATATCAATATCAAATCAAGAGTAAAGGATGGAAAATTCAGTAAATCTTGGGAGGTTGTATGTTTCCTACTCCTTTAAGGATGGAAAATTCAGTAAATCTTGGAAAGTTGTATGTTTCCTACTCCTTTATGAAACTGTTTGGTTGTGGGTGGGGATTGGAAGTAAGATTAAAAAATACAAAATATAGAGCAAGTAAACATAGTGATATATTCAAGTATCTAAAATTGTGATGCTTCTGCTCAGAAAACGAAAGCAGTGGGAATTTATAGATATTCTACAAATAAATAACTTTAAGTTCTTTCCTATGAGTTGCTATTACGTGGGAGACAGCCATGGGCAAATGTACTCTTGACCTTTCAACATCAAATGTACCATTCTTCCCACTCTTTGTAATCCAAACCAGTGTACAGCTCCAAACAATACTTCTCATTTGATTTACTGAACTTATTCTCCATAGAAAACATTTCTTCAGAAGTGGGTGTCCTGACTTAGATATCCACATCTGCCGCACTTCTACAGTAGTTGCAGTCAGTGACCCTTTTAGAAGCTTCAGTGCTTCTAAAGTTTATATTGCAAAACAGCATACTAAGTGGAATAACAAAACCAACTGTTAAAAGTTACCAGTTCCAACCTTGTTTCTGAATTCAGAGGGTAGAAAGTGCCATACACTTCAAGCTTTTTTTTAAAAAACCCATAATCCCTTAATTTTTTTTAAAAAATCAGTTTATGTATATAACCATCAACTGCAATTGAAATAAGGGAGAGGGCAACTCAATCAGTCACTTCAGGACAATTTTTTATTCTCTAAAGTAGGAAAACAGCTAATTCACAGATGTTGAACGTTTTACTTGCCTGGGTCATAAAGACGAATTGTGCTGGGCTGCATATAAATATATAATATTTAATGCATATCAACAACTTCTTTATATTGTACTACATTGCATTGCATTATACTGGGGCCATGTGAGAATCTAATGTTAGTCAAAGTTGAAACCACACTATTAATTAAATAACTGCATTTAATATTGTATACTGTATATCCTTTTACGCATGTCTGCAGTGGTGCAAAATAAAAATAATTAAAACAAAATAATTTTAACAATGAAAAAATAACAGAACATATACATTATATTCAACTTTTCCCAATTTGCCACCTTTTCTTCTCCTTTCTAAATAACTTATAGAATGGTTCATCATCTTTCAAGGACATGAACAAAGGCAACCAAAAGTTCACAAGATGTATTTCAATACAACTTCCAACACCTTCTTTCAAAGACATTTTCCCTAATTAGTATAGACATGGAAGCATTTTTTTAAAAATAGTCAAATAAAAAAGACTGTAAAGATATAAAAGATTTCAGTTTCAGTAAAGTTCAAACTTCCAAGAGTCTGGTCAATGCTACCTTAAAAGCAAATCTTGCCTATCACTGACAGAAGATGCATGCTCATTCTCATACCATTTAATTTACACACACATTATCTGTGCCTTTTTATAGTATTTAGTACAAGGAAATTTCCCCTCTAGATTACAAAATTAGCTAAATCTGTGAAATAATAAATTTAAATATTTGTAAAAATATTTGTAAAATACTTGTAGTAAGGTGAAAAGAAAAATCATATAGATTATCTAGAACTAATGAGAAACAAGGACTACTTCAAGCATTACAAATCCCTATGAAGATTGTTTTATATATATATAACATACCTCACACAAACAATGATAGTTGTGTGTGTATGTGTGTGTGTTACAGGCATTTCTTAAAATTTTCTAGCAAATAGTAAATAACACAATTTATATAAAAGGCAGAGGTGTCAGGACACAAGTACTTAAAAGTGGGATTTGCATTGTGATGTTACTATGCAGATCTAATTTTGGTTTGCTGTGGATGTCTGTGCTGGAAAGATCCACGTTTGAATTCCCACTCATTTACAAAGTTTGTTGTCTGACTTTGAAGCAATCAGTCCCTTTAGCTCAATCTATCTGTTAGGGTTTTATAATATTAATAATTAAGGAGCTCCTTGTGTAAGCTGCCTTGAGCTTTCACAAAAAGGTGGAATATACACGCAAAAGGTGGGATATAAATGTAAACAAAAATAACAAAATATCCCAAAACAGCTCTGAATATAGATAAAGCAAAGGTCATTTTTCTAGCCAAGAAAATGATCCTCAAGTAAGTAGTTATCTTGAATTATAACCTCTACATGATACTAGATGAATGCAATAAGCACCTAGTTCCATCAAGTAGAAGCTTAACCAGTAAAACTCTGGAAATCTTATGTCAGTTTAGGTTCTTAACTCAGCATTCTATCTCTGCTTATCATGCAGGGCAGCATCAAAATCTTTTTTGATCAAAATCTTTGATTCTCTATTTAATCATTACATCATCACTTTCTTTGTTCCATTTCCTTTTTAAAAAAAATAAATATCTTGTTTCTTGTCCATCCTTCTAGTGTACTTCCTTCTTGTTCCTAAAGTCTCTCACTGTTTTTCTTTTCTGGCCTTCACTTTAGTTTTCCTTCCATTCCTCTCTTTCAGTCCACTGCTGACTCTGCACCTTTTCTTTATTTTCCTTGTTAAGAGATCTTCTTGTTTTAATTCTCAGAGTCTCACCTCAATCAACTGGTCTTCTCTTGTCCAGAGATAAACAGTCTTTTCTTTTTTAAAAAAAAGTCTTGGCTTTAAACTATCCTGCCCTTTGAGCAATTCAATATTCTAGACAATTGCAGCATCCATATTTCAATGAATCTAGATCCTATTTTTCACATTTAAGAAGTGGTAAAATCAGTTCTCATCTTTTGATTCCATTTCTTCATTTTTGTTCTTAGGCTTTTAGAGCAATTCAATCATTATACAGCTATCTTACAATTTGTTTTTAAAAATTATTTAAAAATTGAAAACAGGACAACACAATCAAATATATACTCAAATAAGAACTAAATTCAGCCTGAAAACAAAGTGTTGAGAGGAAGAACTATTTAAAATAAGAAATAATGAGAAAACTGGGCACATACAATACTGCATGTGGCCATCTCTATTTTGAAGCTACTATATTAGCAAAATGATGGTCTTGATTGTTCTTGCCAACTTCATTGGTCTATTTAGCAGAAATATAAGCAAGATCTTCATTGTGGCCCTTAGCCCTAGGCCATTTAATACATGTATAAGCAGTCTTTCAAATAACTGTGTTTTAAGTTATGCCTTTCAAGGCCACGCTCCAATTACAAGATGAAAATCAAAACTCCCTTATTTACAGGTACTGTCCACTTTATTCCTAAATGAAAAGCTTTTCCTAAAGGCAAAACTAAAAAGCCATGTACTGTGCTGTCCATCAGCAACTGGTGCTGATTTACCCAAGTAATAACCAAGGAGTATGGCTCAGGCACAGTTTTGCAATATAGTTGTCTTCCATTTTGCAGCTCAAACTGGAGTTGCTGCCAACACCACCCAAAAAAGAATTATGCAAGATGGATGTCTTTTAGATAATATAATTTCCAGCAGAATCTCTTCATGTGATAAATTTCTTCTCAGCAAAAGTATGACGATCAGCCTGCTTTTTTCATCACAGACCAGGCCACGGTATTTTGGCTGTGCCAAATGAAACCCAAACATTTTAATATCTTACACATTTGCCTTGCACTTCTTGAGATTTGCTATTTTTCAAATAGCCATCTAATTAAAAGTTACTTTATTAGTTACCTTGTAATAAAGGAACATCTTGCCTTTCTTGGATTGTTACATCAGAGAATGAACCGAAGGGATGTACTGTTTACATTATTTCTGTTTCAATCTAGTAATTATCTCTCAGGATTTAGGAATAATAAAAAGCAACATTAGAGACATTTTTAGTTTGGTAATATTAACTGTCATGCACAAGCTGTTACACATTGCAGGATGTTAAACTATGGGATGGTTTCTTTTATTCTAATTTGTGTGTTTTGTGAAATGCATGCCTGTGAGTTCTAAATCGTGATTTATCATTTAACAAGTTACATGAACCCATCATAAAATGGTTTAATCAGTAAGCCATTATTAAACTACAACTTAACAAAATGTGTTAATCCGTACAGACATATAACCTCAGCACTACTATTCCATAGAAGATTCCCCTTCCCATTTGTACATTACAACTACCCTGTGTCATATTACTATGGCCAAGAGAGGCCAGAAATGTCGCTAGCAAATCTAAAAATTATGTGAAATCGGTCACAAAAAGTTATTAAATGAAACCAGGGCTTAGAACGCTGAGCTCCACTACACGAATTTTTTAAAAATATTAATGATCACTTGATGATGGACCTCAAAAGGCTGCTGCAAGCTTGAATAAGATTACGACCGTAAAATGTACAATACCAGACTCAATATATAATCTAGTCTAGCGCCCAGAAGTTAATTTCTCCAGGACAAAGGAACTATTTCTGTCCTTTCTTCTGCAGACCTGGTTGGAAAGCTGCTGCTGCAGCGGGAATACCTGCACTATAGCCAAACTGAGCATATGCGCGCCCACAGAGCATGGCTTGGCCCCCGCAAACATACGCGAGGTTGACGCTGCAGACGACCACAGGCTCCGGGGAATTCGCGAAACCAACCAAGGGAGCAGACGCCCCTCGAGCCTCTCCTTTTAGATCGAGCTGCAGGGCATTCCCGGAGAATAAACGGACTAAGAAGGAGAGGCCCCTTTCCTCCCCCGGATCTCTTGGGGACCCTCCCGCGCCGATCCCGGGCACTTACTTTTCCACCTGGCCTTCTTCTCCGCGGGAGGGCGGAGGGAAAGGCTGACCGAGCCAACCAACCTATCCTGCCTACCTTCCTCCGCTTCCGCGCGCGCGCCTCAACCCTGCTCTTCTCGGTTCCCACAGGCACTCCGCTCGCAGCCACCCACAATCTAACCAACCAAGTTCAGCACTCGATGCGGAGGACCTGCCTCTTTTCAACCTGTCCAATCCCGACAGCGATTTCAATAGGGAGGGGAATGACAAAGGGGAGGATAAGTGAGCAACCAACCCGAAGGACAGCTCAGCCTTCTGGAACTTGGCCAAGAGTTTCACCAATAAGAAAAAAAGAACCAGCGGTAAAGTCCCGCCCTCTCATCATTGACCACAGGACAGTTAAGCCAATCAGAAGCCAGAGAAGGAAAATGCGTTCCATTTTTTTTCCTTTCAGCCGCACAGTGTCCCACGGGCGAGAATTGGCGCATGCGTACGTGAATTACTCAATACCCTCGTTTATTCTTGCGCACATCACGATTTTTTAGTGGCGCGCATCAACATTTGCTCGTGCGCTACGCGATCCTGTTTTTTTCGCCCGGCCGTACGCAATCTCGGTGCGTTGCTATGGTGATGAGAAAGCCCGCGCCTGCGGCCTTCTGAGCTTCAGCTCTCGTCTGAGCGGTTTGGGTTTTTTTTTAGTCCTCTCCTGAAATTATTTCTCATTTTCCTGCTTGGAGATATACGTCTTTTTTCTGTCAAAATAAATATCGCGGTGTTGAGCCGGCTTTATCACTGTAGCCGTACATGGCTAATTCCTTGTAACTAACAAAGCTGCTCGAGTCCAGAGAGATGGGTGGTATAGGGAGGAATCCGGGGGTCTTTGATGTGTATCACATCCTGATTTTGTTTCCGCAATAAATGTGAATAAACTTCAGTAACCCCTTCGTTCAAATATCGATTGAAATCCTATCTCACCCCCCTCCCATTATATTATAATTAGGAAGTTGCAGAAGGTATTTGGTTTCACTACTGAACTGAAATCTTGTCATTTCCAGGTATGATTAAAAAGCCATTTGACATTCTGGAGAACAGGTGTCAGTGGCTTGTGTTTATGCACACGCCAGACTAAATTGTGATAGAATTGAACCAGCCATTTTAGAAAAATGAAGTCCAACATGGCAGTTCTTTACATGCAACTGTGATTTATATTGAAACATTTGTGTTATGCTTTTTTTTATTTAAGAATCCATTTGTCCCGAAAGCACTATTGTTGAAGGATTGTGGAAGAACTAAGGGAATGCTTTAAACTGGTTTCAGAAGGTCACAGTCCAATGATTTATATATGACCTTATTGTTCATACAATTGCAGAGCTGGAAAAGACTATTTTGACATTTTGGTTATTTTGCAGTAATCATACTATTCCTGACAGACAGTGATCTAGCCTTCACTTGAAGACCTGGACTGAAGATGAGATTATCACCCCTGGTTCTACTATTGATTTAATATAACCATTTTCTAGTATTCAATTAGAATCTGTTTTGCATTTACAACAAAAAACTAGACAGTAGCCAGCCCACATGGTTTTCTGTCCATGTGGTTTTCTTGGTAAAAATACAGCAGTATTCATATTCTTTTTAAGGTGTGGTAACCATAACTGCACACAATATTCCAAATGTAGTTGCACAACTAATTTTTATAAGAACATTATAAAATTGGCTTCTCTACTTTTTTAAAAAACTTTCAATACTGTTTCTTATTATTCCTTCTTATTATTATATCATGCTACCCACTTTTTTTTTTACAGTAGATCTTTTTTTATGACCAGGAACAATTTAGTGTCATTAGCAATCCTGCCCTTTTTGAACATTGGTGTTGGAGAAGACTCCCAAGATTACCATGCACAGTCAAAGAAACATACAAATGGATCATTGAACAAATCAACCCACAATTCTAATTCAAAGCACAAATGACCAGGCAAATAATGGAAGCATTTTCTGAAGACCTAACTCTCTGAAGAAGATTCAGATGCTGGGAAAGATGAAAGAGTTTAAGAGGAATACCAGCAGCCAGATGGATGGATCAATTGCAGCAGCTGTGGGTACTCCATTGAAATATCTGAAGGATCAGGTTAGGAACAGAACATCATAGTGCATCAGAACATCAGGGTGCAGCAGTACAAGGAAACAACAATCAATGATCTTATAGCCAGCCGTCAACACCCTAATTAACAACTAAAAGCTACACACAATCAGGCACCATATAAATATAATGTGTGGAACAACCCAGTGCAGATATTCTGGAGAGATAAAAGTTCCCTGATGATGGGCTCCAGCATGAGCCCGAAAGCTTGGAAGAACAAACCTTTGTCTCAGTGACTGAGTTAGATTGGATCCTGCAACATTATCCTGGGACACGTATATGTGCCTTCATTCGCAAGTATCAGTTTGGCTCCTAGAAGAATAGAAGTACTGTTATAAGTATTCTTTGATCCAACATAATTATACTTTTATTTTTTAAATATTGTTGAAAGCATCTTCTTGCGCTGAAGTATTAGTTTTATTATAATGTGTGTTACTATGCTTGATTGGAGGGCTGGAAAATCCATTCTGTGACACCCATTTATAAATGTGCCATTTATATTTTACACTGAAAACTTACATTGTATGGGACATAAAACATAAATATGATAAATATTGGGAGAGGGCTATGGAAAGAGAAGTATGATAAATGTAGAGAAGAGGTCAGGCAGGAAGAGAGATTTATCACTTTGGCTTTATATATATTTATTATGGCCATTTAATACTATATAACTGAAATCCCAATTGACAAACTAAAGAATGAAAAAGCCAGTAAAAGCAGTTTTGAGAGGGAGGAAAAATTAGACTAATCAAGACAAAGTTACAAAAAGAATAAGAAAAAGCCATTAACTATAGCAGGAAGATAAGATTGTTGATGTCTTGCAAGAACTTAATGGTTCAGAGCCAAAAAAAAGTCTCAGTGGTTGTAAGCTATAATCACAAGCAGCAGGATGATAAAGCAACATAGGAAGTAAGCAATATACAGAATCCCCTGCAGACAATTTGACCAATCAGTGAGACACAAACAAGAACTAGCAAAAATATAGAAAGTCTCACAGGAGCTGTTTTGTTTCTCTTTTGCTGCACTTAATTTAATGGAGCAACTGGAAATAGAATGTTAATAAAGGCAACTACACCTAGAAAACCCAGCATTTGTAGGCTGGGTTGGAGAAAAGAAAAGCAGATACATATATCTATCTGGGCTGGAAACCAAGCTTTTGTGAATGTGCACAGTGAAATCTCAAAATCCACATATTCACCTTAAAAAGCACATCCGGACTATTTTGTACACCTACCAGCAAACATTTGATTGGGAGAAATTTTTTCCCTTTAAATTGGTGAACTGGACAATCAAATATGCAATTGATGGTAGATTTCCTTTCAACATCTCCAAATGTTTGCCAAGCAATAGATAAATCTGTCAACAATAAACCAGTTCTAAGTACCTTACTGCTATAGACTTTAGATAGCTATTGGATACAGATTAATAGTGAGTGAATTAAGTGCATTAAGTTGGATTTTATTTCCAGTGACAATATCAACAAATGTTGTATCTCACCTGTCTCTAATAATAATTCAGCACTTTCCAAGGGCATTCTGATAATTCATTTGATCCCTTCCATCCACATTATATCAGTATAGATTTTCTACCATTTCATTTATTCTTACCAAGCATAATAATCATTATTGTCTACTATCCATTCAGATAATATGCCCCTATTACAGAGGTTTTGGCTTGCTAATCATAATTCCAAAGGAGCAGTCAGCCTTTATTTAATAACAACATGACCTTGTCTATGTTTGTAAACTGTCATTCGATTAGAATTACTTAAGAAAAGCTAAAATATGTATCCATGGGTATTGTTTATGGATACGCTGTGCAACTTGTTTAGTGTGTATGAAAGTTTCTGTGCCTGACTATTTGAAGAATGCCATTCAGTTTCTCTTGTGCAGACAGAAATGTAGCAAGAGATAATGTGAAAATAATATGGGGAATAGTTCGTTAAATATTTCTGAGAAGGTATTTGGCTGAATACTAATGGGAAATAAACGGTGACAAGGGAATAAATGGTGACAAAGGGCAATATTTGAGAAAAATAGGATTAGGGTTCATACAACTGGTATTGTTTGTAGAATTCCTTGAAAGAAATTCAGAGACGAGGTTCGGAGTAGCAGAATAAAGTTTCTTTTATTATCAAAGTTGAGTTTAGTAAAAGAAAACGGTTTGCAAAGCGTGGTGGAACTTAACCATGCACTCACAAGAGTTACAGGGAAAAGCCACACCTCCTACAGAAGCGTAACAGCAGTTATACCCCTCCCTATCTCCTCCTATACCTACGTCAGCTATTCCTGACGTGGCAGGTCACAAACCTATCAGACGACACAATTATTCTATCTTACCTCCTACCTTACCATATATGGGTATTCTTTTGTTCTCTACATGCGGACATTCTCTACTTAGTTTCAGGCACGTACTCATGTTTCTTGCACATGCTCAGTAAGTCTGTTGCTGAATAGGAAAATTTTAAACTTTTCTGGAACTTTCCCATTCAATTCCCCCATTTCTTATTTGGTCACTCGTTTAATATTTTCTTTTATTTCATTTAACCTACTAGTTTCTTCTTTGGTAGTTTTCATTGGATGTAAAGTATTCATACTCTCTAACAACTGGATTTGATCCCCAATTTCTTTTAATACCATTATGGACTTAGCATTTTGTTGGGCTTGTAATATACCGTGGACTGAACTGTTCACTAGGTTCTTTATTACTGGAATCAGACAAGGTAACATCATTATTCCAATGAATATAATACATACCATAAACAGAGCCTGTTTCCAATTTCTGAATATTCCTCCCAAGAACCCTTCATCATCCAATATCCCTGTCCAAGTTTGTACAGGTACATGTGCAATCCTAACCATTATTTCGTGGTTAATTACCATGTCCAAGTTTGTACATCATGTGCAATTTGTATGGTTAATTACCATGCCTGAATCGTCAATTTGTATAAGCAATTTGTTAAATTAAATTTTCCACAGACACCTCCTTCCTTAGCCAACAAATAATCTAAAGCCAAGCG